GAGTGAACCCCACAGAGGGAAAGGCTAGTACTAGAGGTGGCCAAGGCCATCCAGGTTGCTGGAGCATTTTACATGAGCTCCTGGATGTCAGACAGCAGTTTCCCTGGGGGCCCTTCTATATGCAAGGGTGGGGGTTAGCCCAGTGAGGGGAAGCAACACTCAGCATTAGAGGCACAGTTCACCCCTGTGGGTCGGCAGCCTGGCCCAAATCAAAGGCTTCCTGATGGATAGAGGTTGTTAAATGGCCCTTAGGAGTGAAGACTTTGTGAGCGAGGGGCGGGTCTGGAGAGTGTCTGATGGTGCACAGGGAGCTGTTGCTGTGCAGTTGCTAGTGCCAGTTTGCAAAACCATGGAATGTCACTAGTTTGTTTTGGTCTGGGGATATCTGCAAAATCTCTGGAAGACTTCGAGTAGCATCGGTTGTAGGTCATCTTAACTGTACGCCCTTAGTACACACACCTACATATTGCAGTATACGTAGGTCACACGGTGTGTCATGGAGACAGGAAAGGCTGGGACAGATGGTCACAGCCCCAAAGAAGCCCTCCTGACTCTTGAGGGTGGCTGAGCGGAAACTATGGAAATCCTCATGGAGTGGAAACCATCCGGAGCCCAGGTGAGAGGCAGCTACAGGTCGTCCCAGGACACTTTTGCAGCCCCACCGAAGGCAGCCCGGGGTCTCCCATCCCCTGAGTGTTCTTTTTTAAATGTGTCCACCATAGATGAATTTGGGTTTGGTTCCCTCGTTGGGTCTTGTTGTTGTGTATTTTTGTGTGAATGCCAATACCACATTGTCTGGATCACTATAGCTCTTCTATGTCATTTGTAATCAGGGAGCATGATACATCCATGTACTTTGTATTTTCCAGTGGTGAGATTGCTAGATGACATAGTAGTTGTATTTTTAATTTGAGGAGGAACTGCCGACTACTGCTCATAGTGCTTGACCTGGGAGGCAGAGATTGCACTGAGCCGAGATTGCGCCACTCCATTCTAGCCTGGGCAGCAGAGCAAGACTCTCCAAAACAAAATAGAGGTTCTCTGTGACAATGACTGCATCAGCCCCTCAGGAGGGAGCGCTTCTCCAGGGCAAGGTGAGGGGAAGCCCAGTGATGGGAGTGCTGCCCGGAGAGGAGTCAGTTCCAGTGGCGGGGGCCCTGGGCTTTGGCCGAGGACTGTGCATTGGCAGCTGCTCTGTCTCTCATAGCCCTTCCCAGCTGCACACGTCGTGAGTGTCAGTGTGCAGTCACAGGCCTGCCTCCTTTGGGCCACTTTCTGACCATGATTTTTGCCTGTGGGGCAGGGTAATTTCAGGATCTAACTTAATGCACTTGGATGTTCTTAGCCCCAGGAGGCAGCTCTTCTCATTCTAGCCTTTTGTTTTGTTTTGTTTTATTTTGCTTTATAGAAATGGGGTCTTCCATTGTTGACCAGGCTGGTCTCAAACTCCTGGGCTCAGGTGATCCTCACACCTTGGCCTCCCAGTGTGCTGGGATTACAGGCATGAGCCACTGTGCCATGGTAATTTTCTTACTAGTAGTTTTTATAGAGCTAGGGTCTTGCTGTGTTGCCCAGGCTGGTCTCTAACTCCTGGCTGCAAGTCACTCTCCTGCCTCAGCCTTCCAGAATGCTGGGATTACATCCCCTTCTTACCTTCTCTGCCAGAAGAGCCCCCATAGTGTGTGAGTGCTGAGTCATACAGTCTTCTGGGTGCTGAACGGGCTTTGCCGCTCTGGTCCTGGGCTCCGTATGTGGACGTGATCTGTGTGAACAGCTACTACACTTGGTATCGTGACTACGGGCAACTGGCATTGATTCAGCTGCAGCTGGCCCCCAGTTTGAGAATTGGCGTAAGACTTATCGCAAGCCCATTATTCAGAGCGAGTACAGAGCAACAGAATTGTAGGGTTTCACCAGGTAAGCGGTGTTGAACTTTGTGATTGTGTGTTCTCTCTGGGCAGAGATGTCACTCGCCTCCCCCGGCCTGGCCTGTGGCCACTGCAGTGCTCCCCTTGCTTCACCTTTGGGCTCACCTCCCGCTACTCCGTCCGCGTTGCCTTCTTGCCAGCAGCCAGGCCTCTGCCCCACTCACTTGGTCCTCAAAAGTGGCCTCCTTACCGGCCTTGTTTCCAGACAGCCTCCTATCACCCATGCCCAAGTGGTCTTTCTAACTCCTGACCTCAAGTGATTTGCCTGCTTCAGCCTACCCAAATCCTGGGATTGTAGACGGGAGCCACCACGCCCAGCCTGTCCTCATTTTTTTATCCCTCTCATTTTTTTGTCTTCCTCTCCAAAGATAGATTGCTTTATCTTGTGGGTTTCTTTTTTCATGTGGATTCCTGAACCCTATCCAGCCCCTCGTTCTCTCCCCAGCCAGCTCACACTCATTTGTCACAGCTCCTGGGACTCCCGTTGACACATAAAGAACAGCCACCCACAGTGGACTGCGCCATTCTGTTTGCACCCTTAAATTTATCGTGCTTACAGAATGCCACTTCTGCAAACTAGTCAAGTAGGGGGAAGTGGCTCATGGATATGCACCCTTGCTCATCCCCTTTGAAAAGGTAACCAGTTCTGATTTCTTTTTTCTTTGAGACAGAAGTTCATTCTTGTCATCCAGGCTGGAGTTCCGTGGCACAATCTTGACTCACTGCTACCTCTGCCTCCCAGTTCAAGCGATTCTCCTGCGTTGGCCTCCCAAGTAACTTGGATTACAGGTATGCACCACCACGTTCTCCTAATCTTTTTTTTTTTTTTTTTTAGTAGAGATGAGGTTTCACCATGTTGGTCAGGCTGGTCTTGAACTTTTGACCTCAAGTGATCCGCCTGCCTTGGCTTCCCAAAGTGCTGGAGTTACAGGTGTGGGCCACCATGCCTGGCCCCAGTTCTGAATTCTTAAGAACCTCTCAAGAGGTTCTAGGTCAGCACTGATAGACCTGGGTGCTGCAGGTGCTGGGTGTGGTGGCTCATACCTGGAATGCTAGTGCTTTGGGAGACCGAGATCAGAGGTTCTCTTGAGCCCAGGAGTTTGAGACCAGTCTGCACAACATAGACCCCATCTCTACAAAAAATTTAAGATTAGTTGCAGCCGGGCGTGGTGGCTGACACCTGTAATCCCAGCATTTTGGGAGGCCAAGTTGGGTGGATCACAAGGTCAGGAGTTCGAGTCCAACCTGACCAACATGATGAAACGTCGTGTCTACTAAGAAAATACAGAAATTAGCTGGGTGTGGCGGTGTGCACCTGTAATCCCAGCTACTCAGGAGGCTGAAGCAGGAGAACTGCTTGAACCGGGGAGGCAGAGGTTATAGTGAGTCAACATCGTGCCACTTTACTCCAGCCTGGGTGACAGAGTGAGACCCCGTCTCAAAAAAATAAGAAAAATAAAAAATAAAATTAGTTGGTTATGGTTGTGCTTGCCTGTAGTCCCAGCTACTTGGGACGCTGAGGTGGGAAGATTGTTTGAGCCCAGTAGGTCAAGGCTGCCGTCTGCCATGATTGCACCACTGCACTCCCACCTGGGGGACAGAGTGAGACCTTGTTTCAAAAAAGAAGCCTTGCAATGATAGAAATGTCCCTTATATGCACTGTGTGAAATGGTGGCCACTAGCTACATGTGGCTATTGAGGTCTTGATATATAACTAGAATAGCTGAATTTATTTAGTTTAATTAAAAAATTGTTTTTTGAGACAGCCTCACTCTGTTGCCCAGGCTGGAGTGCAGTGGCATAATCACAGCTCACTGCTCAACCTCCTGGGCTCAAATGATCCTCCCTCCTCAGCCCCCCAAGTGGCTGGAACCATTGGCATGCGTCACCGTGCCTGGCTAATATTTAAACTTTTTGTAGAGACTGGGTCTCACTGTGTTGCCTAGGCTGTTCTTGAACTCCTGGGCTCAAGTGATCCTCCTACCTTGACCTCCCAAAGTGCTGGGATTCCAGAGCTCAGCTGCCATGCCCAGCCTGGTTTAATTTCATTATACATACATACATACATTTATTTATTTAAGATAGGATCTCGCTCTGTTACCCAGGCCAGAGTGCAGTGATGCAAACACAGCTCACTGAAGCTTTGACCTCCGGGGCTCAAGCAGTCCTCCCACCTCAGCCTCCCAAGTAGCTAGGACCTCCGGTGTGTGCCACCATGTTTGGCTAATTTTCGTAGTTTTTGTAGAGATGGGGTCTTGCTATATTTCCCAGGCTGGTCTTGAACTTCTAGGCTCAAGCAGTCCTCCCACTTCGGCCTCCCAAAGTGCTGAGATGACAGGCATGAGCCATCATGCCTGGTCCCAAGGCATATTTTTACTTCTAGTGTAGTTCAGCCTTAAGACTATACCAGCAGATAGAGATGGAAAAGTGAGATGAATCGAATATCAAATTACATTTATAAATAAAGCAGTTACTAATTAATGACTTTCTTTCTTTCTTTCTTTTCTTTCTTTCCTTCTTTATTTCTTTCTTTTCTTTCTTTCTTTCTTTCAACAGAGTCTCGCTGTTGCCCATGCGGGAGTGTAGTGGCACGATCTCTGCTCACTGCAAGCTTCACCTCCCAGGTTCACGCCATTCTCCTGCCTTAGCCTCCTGGGACTACAGGCACTAACTACCATGTCCAGCTCATTTTTTGTATTTTTCGTAGAAATGGGGTTTCACCATGTTAGCCAGGATGGTCTCGATCTCCTGACCTCGTGATCTGCCCAGCCTCAACCTCCCAAAGTGCTGGGATTACAGGTGTGAGTCACCATACCTGGCCATGTTGGTTTTTTTTAAACCTCCTTTTTTATTCTGGGTTAGACCATTCCCTGGCTGTCTTTACCCTAGCATCAGTGAGTCCTGCAGTCACTACAGCCCCCTGCGAAGTCAGATATTTTCATCACCATCAAGTGGATCTTCGTTTTTTATCTGACATTTACAATTCTGCCAGTTCTGACTCTTAAATTCTCTTTGCGTTGAATTCCAGGATCCATCTCTGATGTTCAGTGAAGACAACCAGAACAGTCTGCTAGAGCAGTATCAGGGTCTGGATCAAAAACATAGAAAATACGTGGTTGGAGAGCTCATCTGGAATTTTGCCGATTTCATGACTAACCAGTGTAAGTGGCAGTTTGGCTCATGGGATAATGTACCCGTCCTCATTTTTTCAGGTTGCCTTGCCCTTTCTGGATATTTTGGTTGTAAGAATATTGGAAAGAAAGTGAAGGAAGCTGGTTTAATCCATGTAGTTGCGCTGAGGATTTCCTAGGTAAAAGAAGTGGTGTTTAGGAAGTAGGAAAGCAGTCAGGCCCCCGCTTCCCAAATACAGTCAAAAAGCAAACAGGAGAGTCTCCTACAGTGAGGTGGACATGGCTAGCTTGCCTTTTTCTTGTCTATTTCATAGCCAAGGAGGAAGGAAAAACTGGACCTCATTATGGATTTACTTTTGGGATGCACTGATTATTCCAGAGGAAGGTACAAAGTCTGAGAAGCTTAAGGTATTTCAGTGTGTTTTATATTACTCACTTGCAAAAAGCAGGCTCATCAAACACAGGTGAGTTTCAACGCATCTTGAATATGGCAGCATTTAAAAGTCTTCAGACCGGGCCTGGTGACTCATGCCTGTAATCCCAGCACTTTGGGAGGCCAAGGTGGGAGGATCCCTTGAAGCCAGGAGTTTGAGACCAGTCTGTTAAGCATAGCAAGACCCCATCTCTACAAAAAATAAGCACATTAGCTAGGTGTGGTGGTGTGTTCCTATAGTTCCAGCTGCTTGGGAGGCTGAGGCAGGCGGATCATCCGAGCACAGGAGTCGGGGGCTGCAGTGAGCTGTGATTGCACCACTGCACCTGAACCTGGGTGACAGAGTGACACCTGTCTTAAAAAAAAAAATTTGTCTTCAAAGACCAGAAGATCTGTGCTGTCACATTGGGTGACTGAGGGGCTGCCAAATTTGCAACGAATGTTTCCCTTTTCTTCTTAGTTTATGGACTTACCATAAACTCAAGATGGCAGTTTGGTGGGTTGGAGAAGGATATGGTGATGGTGGGAGTTACAATACATTACTTATAGGGGAAGACAGGCTTTTGAAAGGTTAACGCTTAAAAGTGAGAATGGAAAAGGGATGAGTGAATGAACAAGATGAGGTGAGAGGGAAGAGGTAAAGGGAAAAGGAGAACAAGAAGCTCTTCTCTGCATCGTACCTGGGATGAATGGTTTGTGGGGATATCCCTGATGGTAGTTTTGTAGAGAGGCGCAAAGATTTATGTGGTAAGAAATGAGCTGTAGGCCCAGCGCAGTGGCTGACAGCTGTAATCCCAGCACTTTGGGAGGCCAAGGAGGGCGGATCACCTGAGGTCAGGAGTTCAAGACCAGCCTGGCCAACATGGAGAAACCTTGTCTCTTCTAAAAATATAAAAACCACCCGGGCATGGTGGCAAGTGCCTGTAATCCCAGCTACTCGGCGGGCTAAGGCATGAGAATCGCTTGAACCCAGGAGGTGGAGGTTGTAGTGAGGGAAGATCACGCCATTGCACTCCAGCCTGGGCAACAAGAGCGAAACTCCATTTCAAGGAAAAAAAAAAACCAAAAACAAAAAACCAGGGGGCTGGGCGCAGTGGCTCATGCCTGTAATCCCAGCACCATGGGAGGTGGAGGTGGACAGATCACGAGGTCAGGAGTTTGAGACCAGCCTAGCCAACATGGTGAAACCCCGTCTCTACTAAAAGGACAAAAATTGACTGGGCATGGTGGCGGATGCCGATAATCCCAGATACCTGGGAGGCTTGAACCCAGGAGGTGGAGGTTGCAGTGAGCTGAGATCACACCACTGCACTCCAGCCTGGGCAACAGAGTGAGACTCCACATCAATAAAAAATAAGATTAAGTGAAGGAGGAGGAGAAGGAAGAGGAAGAAAAAGAAGAAGAAATAGCTAGGTGTGGTGGCTCAGGCCTGTAATCCCAGCAATTTGGGAGGTAGAGGAGGAGCCGGAGGAGGAAAGGAGGAAAAGGAAACAGCCAGGCCAGTCGTGGTGGTGGCTGGTGCCTGTGAGGAGGAGGAGGAGGAAAAAGAAATGGAGGAGGAGGAGAAACAAACAGCCAGGCCTTGTGTAGTGGCTCATGCCTGTGAGGAGGAGGAGGAGGACAAAGAAATGGAGGAAGAAAAAGAAAAGGAGGAGGAGAAAGAAATGGAGGAGGAGGAGGAAAAAGAAATACAGGAGGAGGAGGAGGAAAAAGAAATGGAGGAGGAGGAGGAGGGAAAAGAAATTGAGGAGGGGGAGGAGGAGGAGTTGGAGGAGGTGGAGTAGGAGGATGAGGAACTGGAGGAGTTGGAGGAGGAGGAGGAGGTGGAGGAGGAGGAGTTGGAGGAGGAGGAAGAGGAGGAATTGGTGGAGGAGGAGGAGGTGGTGGGTTTACAGGTGGAGCCACTGCGTCTGGCTGGAAATCACATCTCATCATGAGATTTGGAGGGTACATACCCGAACCACATTAGCCTTCAAGGGAAACTCCGGGCACCTGGCTATTCCTGAGAAGTAAATTAGCAACTTGATAAGGAGGAGGTAGTAATTGGCTGGGTGCAGTGGCTCACACCTGTAATCCCAGCACTTTGGGAGGTCAAGACAGATAGATCAACTGAGGTCAGGAGTTCAAGATCAGCCTGGCTAACATGGTGAAACCCCATGTGTACTGAAAATACAAAAATTTGCTGGGTATGATAATGGATGCCTGTTATCCCAGCTACTGAGGAGGCTGAGGCAGGAGGATTGCTTGAACCCGGGAGGTGGATGGTGCAGTGAGTGGGCTTAGATTGGGCCATTGCTCTCCAGCCTGGGAGACAGAGCGAGACTCCGTCTCAGAAAAAAAAAAAGAAAAAGAAAAAGGTAATAATAGCTCAGAACAATAGCTACCCAAGTCGGTTAGAGCCACAAGATATTTGATCCCCTATTGAAAGTAAACATAACATCTTGACAAATGTCCCTGTCCCTAAGTTTTTCGGAAGCGTAGATCTCCACCGGATGAAAAATGGTGACAGCTTTCCCTTTGACCTCAGATAAGGGTGAACCGAGGACTGAGCTCTGACTGGAGTTCTTTGTTCCAAATTTCTTCCCGAGGGGCCTGGAGGGAATCACACTCACAGGCAAAAACTTAACACCCCTTCTGCTGACCCCAAGGTTTTAGATAAAGCTTTGCTTTCTTAGCCAACTGTAAAGGGAAGAAATGTTTGAATTGGCCAGGCATGGTGGCTCACGCCTGTAATCCCAGGACTTTGGGAGGCCGAGGCGGGCGGATCACCTGAGGTCAGGAGTTCGAGGCCAGCCTGGTTAACATAGTGAAACCCTGTCTTTGTTAAAAATACAAAAACTAGCTGGGTGTGGTGGTGAGCACCTGTAATCCCAGCTACTCGGGAGGCTGAGGCAGGAGAATCACTTGAACCAGGTAGGTGGAGGTTGCAGTGAGCCGAGATCGGGCCATTGCCCTCCAGCCTGGGTGACAGGGCGAGACTCAAAAAAAAGAAAAAAAAAAGAAAAAGGAAGGCATCTTCTCTGGCACCCTTTAGTCTTATTTTTTCTTTTCTTTTCTTTTCTTTTTTTTTTGAGATGGGGTCTCACTCTTCACCTGGGCTGGAGTGCAGTGGCACAATCTTGGCTCACTGCAACCTCTGCTTCCTGGGCTTCATCAATGCTCCTGCCTCGGCCTCTCATGTACCTGGGATTATAGGTGTGTGCCACCCCGCCTGGGTAATTTTTTTTTGCTTTTTTTTGTATTTCTTGTAGAGACAGTGGTCTCATTATGTTGTCCAGGCTAGTCACAACTCCTGGGCTCAAGTCATCCTCCTGCCTCCCCCTCCCAAAATGCTGGGATTACAGATGTGAGCCACTAAGCCCGTCCTGAATTAATGATTTGTACATACTGTATAAACTTTTGCATCCTACTTTTTCTTACATTTGTTAAATGTGGCCTAAAGCTGCCTCATAAACAGTGAACTATATCCTAATTTAAGCATGTAAGCATTTCACTAAAGGAATATACAAGTAAAATTTTAAAGTAAGAAAATAAGAAAGCATAAACATTTGGGAAAAAGCCTTTAGGCCTTGTCAATTTCTAGAATGTATTTATTTTCACTACCCTGGGGACTCCATTTCCAGTATTAAGGTCCATTCTCAGAAGGTGGATTTGGCGAGCATGAGAAAAGGGGTGGAGGAGTAATCGTACAAACAACTGTGTCCAGTCCAGGTTCCTAGGACCAGAGGGACCCCTCTGTATGGCAGAGGCACCCGACAGCCGTAACTGATGTGTACCCTGAGAATGACTTTACGATCTAAGGAGAAAGTCCGTTCGGAGCCCCAAGCTAAGGAATCAGGAGTGGCAAGATCCTGGAAGGATGCCAACCTGTGAAACTCTGAGTCAAGAGGTCAAGCTGGGCACTTGGTTTCTCAGGTCGACCGCTTGGCCCTCTTCCAAGTTGTACTTTCCTTCTTTCCTTTACTTCGTGTTCTAAAGTTTTTTTAATAACAATTTTTTTTAATACTCTCTCACTCTATAGCCCAGGCTGGAATGCAGTGGCTCAATCTCAGCTCACTGCAACCTCCACCTCCCAGGTTCAAGAGATTCTCCTGCCTCAGCCTCCCAAGTAGCTGGGATTACAGGCACTCACCATCACGCCCAGCTAATTTTTGTATTTTTAGTAGAGACATGGTTTCACCACCGTTGGCCAGGCTGGTCTCGAACTCCTGATCTCAGGTGATCCACTGGTCTCAGCGTCCCAAAGAACTGGGATTACAGGCATGAGCCACCACGCCTGTTCCTGGCCTGCTTTTTAATAAAATTTTACTCCTGCTCTGCAGCTTGCCTCTATCTGGTTTCTACTTTATGACCCTCAGTTAAATTCTTTCTTCTGAGGAGGCAAGAATTGAGGTTGTTTCAGTTGTGTATAGATTCACCACCAGGAACTTGGATACCTTCCACTGGTAACAGGTCGAGGATGCTAGGTGAAAATGTTATGGAAGCTGCTTGCTTTTTACAAACGTAGTGGTTCTCATGTCCAGCCACAGCCACTGCACCTGTGTGAAAGTCCCCTTAATAAACCTATGTCTCTTTTACTGTCTCCAGATCTCTTCCTCTACCCTTCCACACGGTGCCTTCCCTACTGGAGTAAAGTGGGGTCCCGCAGGGCACCCTCTCCCTGCAATTTTTTTTTTTTTTTTTTTTTGAGATAGATTCTTGCTCTGTCACCCAGGTTGGACTGCAGTGGTATGACCTCGGCTCACTGCAACCTTCGCCTCCTGGGTTCGAGTGATTCTCCACCCTCAGCCTCCTGAGTAGCTGGGATTACGGGCGCCTGCTACCATGCCTGGCTCCTTTTTTTTTTTTTTTTTTTTTTTAGTATTTTCAGTAGAGAGGGGGTTTCGCCATGTTGGCCAGGCTGGTCTTGAACTCCTGGCCTCAAGTGATCCGCCCACCTCAGCGTCCCAAAGTGCTGAGATTACAGGCGTGAGCCACTGCACTTGGCCTCTCTCCCTGTATCTTCATGTATCTTCAAAGCCAAGAAGGAGTTTCTGTCCCTTTGGTTAGGGTCGGGGTCCCAGAGGTCCAGGGTCAAGGCTACGGCCGCCTCTCAAGGACGTGCATCCCTGCAAGAGGCTGCATCCAGCAGTCATGGAAGAGGCTCCCCTGGGGCCTGCTCCAATTCCTGCTGGGGAAAGCAAGTGGAGGTGCCCCTTGAAGAAACGGGGATGCCACCAATCTCAGGGGTTCTGTCCTGGCCTGCGGCCCTGGATGGTCCAGCCTCTGCTGGGATGGCAGCAGACGACGCCCTTCTTGGCTGGAGCTGAGGGTCGGGGTCCCGCTTCCCCAAAGGCCTAGCCCTGGATTCCAGCCACAGGTTCTACTGAGCAGCGCCTGGTGCTGCCCCGCCCCTCCAGGCCTGGCACTCGCCCTCAACAAACATGGCGCAGAGGGCCTCACGCGCATCACGCGGCAGGCGCCTCACGCTACAGGCCCGCAGGGCTCCCCCTCCTCCCCGCTGCACCGCTCTCATCCTCTCAGACTGGCTGACAAGATAGGGAGCGGGAAGTATGACCTGGCTGGTGGCGGTGTCCTGGGCGGCTCTCAGGGCCTGTTGTGTGGCTGCCCGCAGGAGCTGCTGGGCGGGATGCTGTACACCCGGGAGAGGCGATCGCTGGAGCACAAGGAGCTGGACGGCCTCTGAAGCTTCCAAGCCGACCTCTCCGACAACCCACGCGGGGGCTTCCAGGAGCAGAGGTACCCACGACCATTGCGAGAGGCGCCCGGAGGCCCTGCGTTGGGAATGGCATAAGCCCCGGCGCCCTGCAGCCTCCTTCACCTGAGTGCCCCAGAGCTGGGGGCCCGGAGGAGGTTAAAGGTCAACAGGCTTGGGGGCGCCAGGTTGGAGGACGGGGGTATGGGGCTACTAGGGGGACCTGGAAGGGCCAGGGCGGAGGAGGCAGGAGGAGGAGGAAGCGCTCCTGTCCAGCCGCGTCCCCAGGCGAAGGCTGAGCCTGGTCAGTGTCCTTTCTAACATTCATTTTTAATTTTTGAAATGTTTTTGAGACTGGGTTTGGCCCTGCCGCCCAGGTTGGAGCGGAGTGGGGCAATCCTAACTTCTGAGCTCAAGCGATTCTCCTGCCCCAGCCTTGCAAGTTAGCTGGGGCCGCCATGCCTAATTAAAACAAACAAACAAAAAACAAAGAAAAGAAACTTGGTGGGGCTTGGTGGCTCACGCCTGTAATCCCAGCACTTTGGGAGGCCAAGGCGAGCAGATCACCTGAGGCGAGGAGTTCAACACCAGGCCGGCCAACGTGGTGAAACCCCGTCTCTACTAAAAATACAAAAATTAGCCAGGTGTGGTGATGAGCACCTGTAATCCCAGCTACCTGGGGGACAGAGGCAGGAGAATTGCTTGCACCAGGAAGGCGGAGGTTGCAGTGAGCCGAGATCAAGCCACTGCACTCCAGCCTGTGCTATAGACTGAGACTCCGTCTCAAAACAGAAATCAACTTTTTTGTTTTGTTTTATTTTTTAAGATACAGGGTCTCACTACGTTATCCAGGCTGATCTCGAACTCCTGACCTCAAGCCATCTTCCCAGGTTGACTTCCCAAAGCGCTCATTACGGGCATGAGCCACCACTCGTCAGGCTGGAGCAGCAGGCGCTGCACAGAGCTGGGCCCGGGGATCGCGAGAAGGGGACAGTTTAGACATTCTGAGGTCGGCTCTGCTGAGGGGGGAAGGTACCTTGGTTTTCAGGGTTCAGATAGAGGACAGACTGTGACATCAGGCCAAGGACGCCACCCCTGTTGCCCTCCTGACTTGGATGTGGTCAGCAGAGAAGTGGGATCCGGTGAGGTCTGGGCCGCGTTTGCTTGATCTACATCTTTTTCTTTTTCTTTTTTTTTTGAGACAGAGTCTCGCTGTGTCACCCAGGTTGGAGTGCGATGGCATGATCTTGGCTCACTGCAGCCTCCACCTTCTGGGTTCAAGCGATTCTCCTGCCTCAGCCTCCCGAGTAGCTGGGACTACAGGCGCCCGCCACCACTCTCAATTAATTTTTGTATTTTTAGTAGAGATGGGGTTTCACCATATTGGCCAGGCTGGTCTCGAACTCCTGACCTTGTGATCCGCCTGCCTCTGCCTTCCGAAGTGCTGGGATTACAGGTGTGAACCCCCGTGCCCAGCCTACATCCTCTTGTTTCTGACTTTGTGGTATTCAGTACAAGAGAAAGAGAGGAGAGGGCTGGCTGCCAGCGTGGTCCTCACTCACAGTGTGCTAAGCAAAGCTCTCCCATCCCCCTAACCAGCCTTCCTCCCTGTGACAGGCAGTGGGTCATTTGCATCTTAGTCACAGGTCTGAACCTTCTTGCCTTTGGCTGGGATGTGCCCCTGGGTTCACCCCTGTCTCGGGAGATACTGGGTTCCATCCGCTCTAACGAGGATCTCTGGGCCCCACTGGTCCAGGTATACAACCTGCACTGGCAGTTGACCTGTCATCAGCAAGTTATCTGTCTTTTCTGCCAGGTGTCCCCGCTATGTGTTAGGGCTTGTGCTAGGCCTGGGGGCACAGCTGTGCAGCACACTGGTCCCGGATCCCTTTGGGGGCCTAGGAGCTGAGCCCGGCCCTTCTCTTCACAGTCGGGCCCCACCTTGTACATACTGGTTTCCTCCATCTTCATCGACATCAGCCAGGACTGGCGGCTGTGGTGTTTTGTCAGCTGGGTGTGTTACGAACGGGAGGTGACCCTGCTGGAGTGATGGATCCAGGACCTGTGCACAAGAGTGGTGCTGAGGATTGGCAGTGCCCACTTCTATGCCATCGTGGTCAGTGCGGCCAGGAGCAGGTAGGGCGGGTGGGTGGGCACAGCTGCTGAACAGCATGGGACCCTCGGATGCCACCCACAGCCTGTCTCCTGGGGTGGGACGGTGGGGGGCCTTACCCTGCCCTGGGGGTTGTGCCCTGTGTAGGTGGATAAGCGGCCTGATCTACCCCACTGGGATGTCTTCCTGTCTGGCTGGCAGGCCCCTGAGCCCCATGCTGCAGGTTATGTGAGGGAGTGCCCGATAGCAGAGCCCCTCCTCATGCCCCGACCTGCCACTCCCTCCCCATATCTCCTATGTCTGCAGTGGGTGAATGGGGTCGACACGCTGGAGCATGAAAGGGGCTACCTCCCCTTCAAGGCTGACAGCAGCAGCCTGTTCCGGGTGGGGTCCCTGCCCTCCTGCCTCTGCGTCACTGTCGTCATCAACAACATGCTTGCCCCCCCACCCTGCCACCAGGGACCATGTGTACATGACCGACACCTCCAAGTGGATACCATCCTGCCTCCACTGCACGCACCCACCTTCCCACCCCACCCTGTGGTCTTCCTGCCCGGGACAGGGTGGCCTTCACAGAGAGGAGGCCCTGATCTGGGAGGCAAGTGAGCTGAGGGCAAAAGACCCATGGCAAGGGCCCAGCAAACCACAATCCTTCTGCCCTAGGTATCCCAAGGGTTACTTTGTCCAGAACACAGACTTTGACTTCTTCAACTATGCGGGACTGCAGCGGTCTGTGCTTCTGTACACGACACCCACCACCAGTATCAACATCACCGTCACCACCGGTGTGGAGCGAGACAGTGGTGAGAGCTTCTGGTAGGATCCTCCCTCAGCGGGGCCCCGGGTGACTCTGTTTGTTCCCTGTTTGGAAAGCTCTCCCAGGAAAAAGATTCTCCCAGCATCTCTAAACCTTCACAGGTTCCCATCCACCTACGAAACTAAAATCCAGGCTGTCTGAGTGGGCACGAGCTCCCAAGATCACCTATGTGGTTGATCTCGCTTGGAGAAGAGGGGTCTGGCCCAACGTCACATAGCTCAGGGTGGCAGCCCTGTCCTTTCCCCACGGTGCTGCTCTCACTCTAGCTCCCATTGCTACACATCGTGCTCAAAGAACAGGCAGCTTCGGCTGGCCAGGTGCGGTGGCTCACGCCTGTCATCCCAGCTCTTTGTAAGGAGGACTTGGTAGGAGGATCACTTCAGGCCAAGAGTTCAAGACCAGCCTAGGCAACATAGCGAGACCATCAGCACAAAAAATTTAAAAATTTGCCAGGCACGGTGATGCGTGCCAGTAGTCCCAGCTGCTGAGGCAGGAGAATCAGTTGAGCCTGGGAGGTCAAGGGTGCAGTGAGCTGTGACCACGTCACTGCACTCTGGTCTGGGCAACAGAGGGAGACCCTGTCTTTTTTATTTGTATTTGTTTTTGAGCTGGAGTCTCACTCTGTAGGAGCCCAGACTGGAGGACACTGGTGCACTCTTGGGTTCGCTGCAACCTCCGCCTCCCAAGTTCAAGTGATTCTCCTGCCTCAGCTTCCCAAGTGGTAGCTGGGATTACAGGCACCTTCTACTGCATCCAGCTAATTTTTGTATTTTTTTAAAGTAGAGACGGGGTTTCACCGTGTAGGCCTGATTGGTCTTGAACTCCTGACCTCAGATGACTTGCCTGCCTCGGCCTCCCAAAGTGCAAGAATTACAGGTGTGAGCCACCGTGCATGACTGGGATACCCTGTCTTTAAGAAAAAAAAATTTAATTTTTTTTTTTTTTTTAATATATCCTTTTCCTTTTGTGAGAGGAGGCCTTGTACTGTCGCCCAGGCTGGATGGCAGTGGTGCAATGATTGACAGCTATTGTGGGGCCGCAGTTGTCAGTTTCAAAGAATTTAGGCTGGGTGTGGTGGCTAATGCCTGTCATCCCAGCACTTTGGGAGGCCACGGTCAGCGGATCACTTGAGCTCTTGAGCTCAAAAGTTCGAGACCAGCCTGGGCAACATGGTGAGACCCTGTTTCAAAAAGAATAAATAATTAAAATAAATAAAGAATTTAAATAAGAATCATACAGCAAAGGTGATGCAGCATAGAGCAATTTATTGTAAAGGGAAAAGTATTTTGCAAGTGAAGTGCAGAATAGCCCAGGCACAGTGGCTCATGCCTGTAATCCCAGCACTTTGGGAGGCTGAGGTGGGTGGATCACTTGAGCTCAGGAGTTCAAACCAGGCTGGACAACATTAGGCAGGTGTGGTGGCGTGTGCCTGTAATTCCAGTACTAGGGAGGTTGAGATGAGAGAATGGCTTGAATCCAGGAGGTGGAGGTTGCGGTGAGCTGAGATAGCAACACTCAATTATATAATCCCAGGTGCTCGGGAGGCTGAGACAGCGAGACCCCATCTCAAAAAACACAGTGAAGTAGCAAATATGTGCTTCACCCTGAGAGAGAGAATTCAGGGCAGGCTGCTGGTAAGGATGAGAGAGCGCTGATTATCAGTGGGGAAACTCCCTTTCTGGGAGTCTTCCATGATGAATTCCTAAGGAGCTGGAAGAGGTGTTTCTCTAAGCACGTTCTGGGTCATCTTCTGGCTGCACATGGGTTGTAGCTGTACATGCTTGTTCACACATCACACGTCGTCTCAGTGCCATGGTTGGCACTTCCGAAGGTCACGGTCAGTTCCTTGACTACCTGCTCTGCCTCAAGATTGTAGCTCACTGCAACCCCAAACTCCTGGCTCAAGCAATCCACCCCCTTCAGCCTCCCAAGTACCTGGGGCTGCTGGGATTGCAGGCAAGCACCACCATGCCCAGCTAATTTTTGTTATTTTTAGGGAAGATGTGGTTTCCCTATGTTACCCAGGCTGGTCTTGAACTACTGGACTCAAGCGATCCTCCCACCTCAGCCTCCCTGTGTTGGTGTGTTGGGATTGCAGGTGTGACCACTGTGCCTGGCCAAAAACATGTTTTTTTTGTTTTGTATTTTGAGACAAGAGTTTTGTGCTGTCACCCAGGATGGAGTGGTACAGTGGCATGATCTTGGCTCACTTCAACCTCTGCCTCTACTAAAATATGAAAATTTGCTGGGCATCTGTAATCCCAGCTACTTAGGAGGCTGAGGCAGGAGAATTACTTGCACCTGGGAGGCAGAGGCTGCGGTGAGTTGAGATCATGCCACTGCACTTCATCCTGGGTGACAGAGTGAGATTGTCTCAAAACAAAATGTTTTTTGTAGAGTTGGGGGTCTCACCCTGTTGCCCAGGCTAGTCTTGAACCGGACTCAAGTGATCTTCTTGCCTTAGCCTCCCAAAGCGTGGGGATTCTAGGCATGAGCCACCTCGTCTGGTCAAGGAGAAGGCCCAATTTTGAAGGGCAGGTCCCAGGGTCAGCCAGGAAAGGGCAGAGCCTCTGATTGCTGCTTCTCTGCTTGCAGGCCCCGAGGCGGCTGCTGGGGTGCACTGGGGGTCTTCCTGCTGCAGGCCAGGCCAGGCCAGATGGGGCTCAGGCTGTCAGGGTGCTCACACCTGGCGCTTTGGCTGTCGTAGGTGTGGCTGACTGCACAGACGTCACTGGGGCCTTTTTCTGACTTCTACACACTCGCTGTGGTGATCCGCACTGTGGCTGTCACCGAGAGCCAGTTCCTCATCAATGGGAAACCTTTCTATTTCCACAGTGTCAACAAGCATGAGGATGCAGATGTGCACTGGGGCTCTTGGGTCCTCGTGGGGGCTGCTTCTGGTCACCTTCCACTTTCGCCTTCCCTGTGTCCCGCAGTTCAGGGCAATGAGGCAAATGAGCTTCCCTGTGGCAGCTAAGGGTAATGAGGCAAATGGCTCCAAACCACCCTGCTGTGGAGCTGGTGGTTGGGCTGGAGAAGGGGGCTCATCGGGTGGCTTTCCAGGGACCTGGCTCTTGGAGGGGTCCTGGCTCTTGGAGGAAGTGCAGCTTTGACAGGGATGGGTCACTTGACTCTGCTGTCCCCTAGGTCTGAGGGAGGGACTTCGACTGTCTGCTGCTGGTGAAGGACTTCAACCTGCTTCACTGGCTTGGTGCCAACGCCTTCCGCACCAGCCACTATCCCTGCACAGAGGAGGTGCTGCAGATGTGTGACCAGTATGGGATTGTGGTCATTGATGAGTGTCCCACTGTGGGCCTGGTGCTGCTATGAGTCCCCACCACGCAGCTGCTCTGCCTGGCCAGCCTGCGGGCCACACTGTGACCCTCCGTCCCTTCCCTCCTGGCCCCCTGGCAGCTCTTCAACAATGTGTCTGTACATCACTACGTGTGGGTGATGGAAGAACTGGTGCACAGAGACAAGAATCACCCTGCCGTGGTGATGTGGTTTGGCCAGGAGCCTGCCTCCTACCTGGAATCTGCCGGCTACTACATCAAGTGAGTGTCCCTTGCCTACCCTGGGCTGGATCGCGAAGGAGATCCTGGCAGGTGGCAGACTGGGGTAGGCGTGTGCTATCCGAGATCAGCGTCCTGTCCCAGCCCAATGGGAGGGCCGTCCATACCCAGACAGTTCAGGGAACCAGATATCTACCTCCCCAAATTGTGGTTTTCTTTTTCTGTGTTTTTGAGATGGAGTTCTGCTGTGTTGCCTAGGCTGGAGGACAGTGGTGAGATTTTGACTCACTACAACCTCAGCCTCCTGGGTTCAAGTAATTCTTCTGCCTCAGCCTCCTGAGTAGCTGGGATTACAGGCATGCATGAGTGTATGCACTCGGCTTGTTTTGTTTTTGAAACAGGGTCTCACTTCGGTTGCCCAGGCTGGAGTACAGTGGCATGATCTTGGTTCACTTCAGCCTCAACTTCCCAGGCTCAGGTGACCTTTCTGCCTCAGTCTCCCAAACACTTGGGATTATAGATGTGTGCCACCCATGCCCAGCTAACTTTTGCTTTTTTTTTTTTTTTGGACAAAGTCTTGCTCTGTTGCCCAGGCTGGAGTGCAGTGGCATGATCTCAGCTCACTGCAACCTTAACCTCCCAAGTTCAAGCGATTCTCCTGCCTCAGCCTCCCAAGTAGCTGGGACTACAGGCGCGTGCCACCACACCTGGCTAATTTTTGTGTTTCTAGTAGAGATGGAGTTTCACCATGTTGGCCAGGATGGTTTCTGTCTCTTGATCTTGTGATCCGCCCGCCTCGATCTTCCAAAGTGCTGGGATTACAGGCGTGAGCTCCTGTGCCCGGCCAACTTGCATTTTTTAGTAGAGACGGGGTTTCACCATGTTGGCCAGGCTGGTCTTAGTGTACTGACCTCAGGTGCCTGCCTTGGCCTCCCAGAGTGTTGGGAATATAGGGTGACCAACTGTGCGTGGTGAATTTTTGTATTTTTAGTAGAGACGGGGTTTCGCCATGTTGGCCAGGCTGGCCTCGAACTCCTGGCCTTCAGTGATCTGCCTGCCTCAGCCTCCCAAAGTGCTGGGATTACAGGTGCAAGCCACCATGCCCACCCCCCTTTTCTTCTTTACAATCATGCCATTCTAACTCAGCGTTCAGAGGCGAGTTTTCATTTGTGGTAGAGGCAACAAAGGTTGTAGAAATGCTCCTTGAGGCAGATGCCACACCCCGATTTCATGGAGTGCTTTGGGCTGAGCCAAGTCTGCAGCAGGCAGAAGGCTCTGAGATGTCATCCCAGCCTGGGCAAAGGACAATTCAGGGCATGGGGGCACAGGAGTGTGCTCAGCAGGACTGGGCGGACAGGCCCTTTGTTGGGAAGGTGAAGAGTACAGCCTTCCAGGTGTGGGTGCCTGAGGCTTCCAGACAGGCTTCTTTGGGAGGTGATCAGAGGAGATGCCTGTTTTCCGGGGCAGGAATTGGAGGGAGTGCCCAGGCTGGAGAGGTTCAGTCAGGCTGTCACAAGACTTTGAAGCTTCCCATCTCAGAGCCTGGCTGTTGGAGAGCATGGGTTTGGAACTTGAGGCTAGGGGGTTCTGTTCTGTCCAGTGCCAGGCACAGCCTTTGGATGGGCAGAGCAACGACTGGGGGAGGGTGTAAAACAAAAGAAATGAAGTGAGGAAAGAGAAGAGGAAAACAGGCTTCAACAACAGTCTAGGCCGAGTGCGGTGGCTCATGCCTATAATCCCAGCCATTTGGGAGGCCGAGGTTGGTGGATCACCTGAGCCCAGGAGTCTGAGACCAGCCTGATCAACAGATAGTGAAACCCTGTATCTGCTAAAAATACAAAAATTATCCGGGTGTGGTGGGGGATGCCTGTAATCCCAGCTACTTGGGAGGCTGAGGCAGGAGAATCTTGAACCTGGGAGACGGAAGTTGCAGTGAGTCAAGACTGCAATTTTACTCCAGCCTGGGCAACGAGTGAAACGCCGTCTCAAAACGATGACAACAACAACAAAAAAGAGGCCAGGTGTGGTGGCTCACATTTGTAATCCCAGTCCTTTTCGAGGCCAAGGCACAGGAGGATTGCTTGAACCTAGGAGTTTCAAGCCACCCTGGGCAATATAGCAAGACCCCATTTTTACAAAAAATTAAAAGCTGGACATGGTGGCATGTCCCTGTGGTCCCAGCTACTCAGGAGGCTTAGGCAGGAGGATTGCTTGAGCCCAGGAGATCGAGGCGGCAGTGAGCTATGATCATGCCACTGCACTCCAGCCTGGGCAACAGAATGAGACCCTGTCTCTAAAAACAAAAACAAAACAAGAGAACAGGACCATCACTCACAGCACCTCTGCCTCTGCCCTACTTACTTGAATGAGGAGCAGGGCATCTCAGCTGCTCGGAGCAGCCCTTGAATGAGCCCCAGCTATTTCTGGGGTCCTCAGACGAAACCTCCCATGGCCAAGTCATACCCAACATGGGCCTCCTCCCCTGTTCCGGCCCCCGCTCGGAGATGCTGAGTGACAGAGGCTCAGGCTTCGGGTGTTCCGGGCAAAGCCTCACCCCCAAGGCCCCACAGCTCAGACCCGGTCCTTGGTTCACACGGCCCCACATCCGGCCTCTTTTTCCCTTAAGACTGATTTCTCCTGGAAGATCACTAGATCCCTCATTCAGGTGGAGTGCTGCAGGATGACACTTTTTCTAGGGGTGACCCAGGCCTGCAGCAGTGTCATAGACAGGCTTACCCGAGCCTCCACCTGAGCCCCTGCTCCTCCTTTCCCACAGGGAGGTGGAGGTTACAGTGAGGTGAGTTCACACCATTGCCCTCCAGTCTGCGCAACAAAGTGAGACTTTGTATCAAAAAAAAGTAGGGGGCATGCAGGCAGTGTAGGCAGATAAGGGCATGGACGAAGCTGCCTCATTGCCACCTTCCTGCCTGGCACTCAGATGTCATTCCACCAGGCCCACGAGGCCTCCGGGGAAAGCCATGTTAATGGCTGAGACCAAGGGGGTTGCCCTCAACCAGCTGTCACTGCAGGAGCTGCAGAGCATTGGGCGGCCCACCCCCTTCTCCATGCTGCCTCCTAGGAGGTGAGCCTGGTTGCCTGGAGCCCGGGGTGGCCCGGCTCCCTGGCCCACCTCTTCCTCTCTTCAGCCTCCTGTTCTTAGGCAACATGAGCAGCATGTGGGACTATAGGCACAGCATGGAACAGTATGGTGCCCTGGATGGCACTGCATGCTCCAGCATCGATTGGCAGATCCGCCAGTTGCGGGCGCTACTGCAGGCACAGCAGGCCTAGGTCCTCCCGCACCTGCCCCCAATTAAAATGGGAGTGGGAGGAGGCTGCTGCGTGTTTCCTGCCCCAGCCTGGCTCCCTCATTGCTGGGCTTTCTGGGGCTGGCTTGTGGGGATGGTCAGGGACTGGAGAGGCAGAGCGGGGTCTCCTGTAATCCCAGCACTTTGGAAGGGCAAGGTGGGAGGATTCTTGAGGCCAAGAGTTTGAGACCAGCCTGGGCAACACAGGGAGACCGTGTCTGTGCAGAATAAGATAGCCCAGCATCGTGGCCCATGCATATAGTCTCAGTTGCTTGTAAGGCTGAGGTGAGAGGATCACTTGTGCCTAGGAACAGAGGCTGCAGTGAGCTGTGATCACACCACTGCATTCCAGCCTGGACAAGAGTGAGACCCAGTCTCTAAGAAACTAAAAATAAAAAATTTTTAAAAAACTGGAAGTGGAGAAAATTGGGCAAGGACTGTGAGAGTCATACATGGGAAGGAAAGAGGGGGCTCCCATCACAGCCTCTGCCCTGTCCAGGCCCCATCCCCTTAAACAGGGTATCACGGTGACCTCCTAGCCCAGGAGCGATGACTCACGCCTATAATCCTAGCACTTTTATGAGGCTTGGGCAACATAGCAAGACCCGAGCTACCACATTAAAAAGGAAAAAAAAAAAAAAAGCTAGCCAAACTGGGCAGGTGATTCACACCTGTAATCCCAACACTTTGGGAGGCTGAGGTGGGGGGATGACCTGAGGCCAGGAGTTCTAGACCAGCCTGGCCAATGTGGTGAAACCCCATCTCAAACTCGTCTCGAAAAAAAAAAAAAGCAGTGAGTGGCGGCACACACACCTGTAATCCCAGCTACTTGGGAGGCTGAGGCAGGAGAATCGTTTGAACTCAGGAGGCAGAGGTTGCAGTGCACCAAGATCGCCCCACTGCACTCCAGCCTGGGTGACAGAGAGAGACTGCCTCTCAAAAAAAAAAAAAAAATTAGCTGGGCATGGTGGCAGGTGCCTGTAATCCCAGCAACTCGGGAGGCTGAGGCAGGAGAATAGGTTGAACTCAGTGGTCGGAGGTTGCAGTGAGCCGAAATGGAGTCACTGCACTGCAGCAATCCTGAGGAGACAAGAACTAAACATAGTATGATCTCCTGGATGAGATCTTGGGGTAGGAAAAGGACATTAGGGGAAATAGTAAAGAAATCTGAATCAAGATGAACCTTAGTTAATAATAACGTATCAGTATTGGTTTATTGGGGCTGGGGATGGTGGCTCACATCCTAGCATTTTGGGAGGCTAAGGTGGGAAGATCCTGAGGTCTGGAGTGTGAGAATAGCCTGGGCAACATAGCCAGACTGCATCTCTCTAAATTTTTTTTTTTCTTTTAGTTAATCAGCATGGTGGTATGCACTTACAGTCCCAGCTGCTAAGGAGGCTGAGGAGGGAGAATTGCTTGAGCCCTGGAGTTTGAGGCTGCAGTGAGGTGTGACTGTGTCACTGTGCTCCAGCCTGGTCAATAGGGCAAGACCGCCTCTCTCCAAAAATTTTTTCATTAAAAAAAAAAATTTTTTTTTGAGACAGAGTTTCGCTCTTGTTGCCCAGTCTGGAGTGTAATGTGGAGATCTCGGCTCACTGCAACCTCCGCCTCCTGGTTTCAAGTGATTCTTCTGCATCAGCCTCTTGAGTAGCTGGGATTACAGGCATGTGCCACCACGTCCGGCTAATTTTGTACTTTTAGTAGAGACAGGGTTTGTCCATGTTGGTCAGGCTG